TGATTGATGGAATATGTGGTTGCCAAACATGATCTGAAATACTGCTACTAGTAAAAATATGAGTGATGATCTCAATCTCAGAACAACACTAGCATCGAGAAGCCAAATGACTGCCGATCCTCCTCTGGATAATGACATCAACTGGTATTAAATCATGCCATAGTCTCCAACAAAAGAACGAAACGGTAGTAGGTATGACATCAACTCATTCATTTCACTTGCCCTTAAAGTTATTATAATTAACATTATTAATAAATTCACAGCTTACCTTAAATTTTTCAAGACACTCATTATCCCTCTCGGTATCTAGTTCCTCATTGAAAATTGGGAGCCATCGTAATCGTTGTCATCGAAAATCCCTTGTCATAATGTCAAAAATGGGTGGACCATAGTAATCCTCTCTTGAATCAATGCCCATCTACTTTTTTGAATTGAAAGAGGTAAAAAGGTTATTGTAACCATTGGAGTCCTTCGCCGACTCGTCAACTGCATCTTTGCAACCGTCAAACCATCATGATTGCAAATTATTAAAAATCTGCTTCAACACGTCCGTTTCTTGAAGCTATTTTTTTTTTTTTTTTTATTTCTACTGATTGTTTCAACGCCATCACTTGTAGACACAGTTATGTTAACTCATTGGGTCGCATGATTTTCATTATTTGGGTTTTCAATAAAACCAAACCGACGCTATCAGTGACGTAGTTGTGTTTTGATACCCAACTAATGCAGCTGAATCAAACAAAAGATGATTAATACTCCACTCACTGTTTCAATACATGAATATTGAGAATTGGACAAAACAGAGAGAATGTTTCTCAATATTTTATTGAAATATCAAAGCAATTTTAAAACCAAGTGATTTCTGTTCACGGTTTTAATAAAATCCTAATTGCCAAAGTTCAATAAAATTGCCTATTTGCCCCCTCATCTATCCTAAAACTAATTAATTTTTAGTTTAATAAAAGAACAAAACAACTAAATAAAAATCTAAAAATCGAAAATACAAAGAAGATAAATTATCAAGCCCAAATCATATTTTATCTTCACCAGATTGCATTGAACATTCCTTCCTCTCTCCTCCACCATGTTTCTGAAGCTTATCATATCTTTAATTGGTTTACCCTTTTGAAAACCTTAGCAAATGATATGCATGGTCAGATACTATGGTACACACCCTACCATACCATTGCACTCTACGTCGAAAAGTAAAAAGGGATATGGAAAATGTTATATGTGGGCAAGATGGCCATCTGTTCTCATGAGACCTAATCAAAATTCAGAGTCTGTGCAAGGGGCTACCTCTTGAAAGTTTTATATCTGAATTGATGGTTATGCTTGATACTGGATAAAAGTTTCTTGGTGCTATTGGTTAAAAGAACATGTATATATGTGCCCGCCTAAAAGTTGTATTCCGTCGCGAAGTGTTGTTTTCTATCGAATTATAGAGATTCAATGCAATTCATGTGTTGATAGCCAGACGTATTTTGATAATTTGCTTGTTTTATAATTGTTCCTCATGTTTCCAATTGCATCCATGCACGAGGAAGTCAAATTTCATTCTTCAATTGTGATTTTGATACGAAAAACAATACTATATTGCGCATTTGAATCCTTTACCATCAGTTTGTTGAATACATATAACTGACTAGTTTGTTACGATAAATTGATAATTACCTGAATTTTTTTTTTTTTAATTCTTCTGTGATATTTACTCTGGTTTATCTTTTCTGTTCTGGCAATATTTTTAACAGGGTGTTGGCTTCGGATCCAAACAAGTAGAGAACAGAACAGCTCTCCTTAATGAAAGATAATATCATTTATGGTTGTTTATTGTACAAACCATAGTTCTCTCGTTTCTTATATACATATACATGACAGAATCAGAATGCTGAAGGGGGAATTCACTGCAGAAACTAACAAAATTAAAGGCAAGTTTCGTATTTTGTTGTATAATGTATGAAGCATCTGAACTGCAAATTTCATTTACCTTTAGCCTTAGCTTTAAAGAGCAATTTATTTGCAGACATCTGGTTACATTGCCAAGGAGCTTTTCCGAAATTGTTTTGTTGCTGGTAATAGTGGTCTTTGTATTCATGTGCCTTGTGTTATTTCCTAGCTATGGAGCTAATTATTAATGCAAAACACAGCACTAAAGAATCAGTTTTATTTGAGCTCTCAGATATTTTATTTAGAAATGTCATCTCGACAACATATGCGAATGTGTAGTAGTAGGATTTATGTGAAATTTTATGTCGACTGTTGACCTATCACATTATTCTTTGCTTTACCTAGGCTTGGGACCGGCTCTGGAAAACGTAGGTGGAGTTGCAACACGAATTATTTTATAAAAGTTCGGTTTCTTCTTCTAGATCAATGCCTTCAGCCATGGGATATGTAATGTCCACGCATGGCTCTCTTAGTATATCCCAGCTAGGAGTCGCAAATGGGCACACTGGCTCTTAGGCTCGACTCATCCCAACTTGGCCCATGAACGGCTCGGACTCATTCTGAGGAGCCATAGACCGAGCTGAACACGAGGCCCACAAACTGGCTCATTTGTGCTCATGGACACGAGCTAGTGAGCCGGCTCATGGGTTGGCTCATTTTTTTGTCTCATTTTGGTCGTGTTTTATTAATTTATTTTGAAAATGTTCGTTTTTTGGTTTATTTTATTAATTTATTTAAAAAAAAAAAAATCAAACCGACTCATGACTTAACTTGTGAGACCCACGAGCTTAGGGCCAAGCTGAGCCCCTATTTTCGGGACGAGCCAAGCTTGAGCTCAACTCTTGTCCAAACAAGCATGTGGTCGCCCATTGCCACCTTTAGACCTTGCTCATGAACTCTCTGGGTTGGTACTGTTTTAAGTCACTATCCAAGAGTTGAACATTTAGCCTGGGCTAGAAATGAAGTCCCATTGGGCTTACACCCACGATAATATGGGTCAAAACCTGACCAACTTAAGTTTACACCGGTCAATTATTAAATGAACTACAAAGATTATATTCCAACATTGATTTGTGCCTACTGGGACACTCTTGAAAAACAAAAACATTTCGAAGCAAATCACCCGCTGGTTACATATTTATTGAACACAGTTTGACCAATTCCTTGGAGTAAATGGTGTTGGTATATTAGACTCGATAGAGTTGGAACAATATTAAAAACGAAAAATAGGTGATGTTTTGAGAAATTATGTGGTTAAATTTTACATATAACTTGGCAAAATTAATATACACAATCACAAAACAAGTGCACAGTAAGAAGAAAGAAAAGACACTTGAGCAACCCCTTGTTGTAACTTGAAAGAAACTGACGTTCCTTTTTCTTATGGAAATAGTTCTCTATTGCAACAAGACTAGGTACATTTTGCCTTTGTTTACATCACTAAAATAGACCCACACAACCAAAATATGCATCAATTATATCTCCTCCCTATAAATTACAGTAACTACAAGAATGATCCCACAAATTTGGGATATGCAACATTATTCTATCCAATTCTAGCCTTTCAATTCCCACAACTTTTATCGAATTTGTAATATGGACCTGCCAGGCTAAAGATCTATAATTCATATTCATATGCACAATTACAAGTCACAAAAAAATTCTCCCCCCGTCACTTTCCTAAGCTCACATCATAATAATATAGACCACAAAATTCAAAAGAAACAGAAGATGATTTCATAACCCAAAAACTAAATCATATCAACAAAGAAAGTAGAAAAGAAAATTCAAGCTAACAAAATGAGTTAAAACTATCACATATATACTGTCTTTTTTTTTTTCCCTAAAACTAATAAAATTTGGACTATTTTGCAATCTGATTTCAAATCAATGCCATGAAGAAATAGTGAGGAGAGAAACATGATTCCAAGCCAAAGAGAGAAATCCAGGAGAAGAATCAACCAACTTGTACATTGTGCTGTAATTGTAGTTCCATAGAAGTATCTTAGCTTGACTCGTTGCATAATGGCTCAGCTTCAATGGCTGAAAACCGGCGTTTTCCATTAAGAATCTCCAGCTATCTTTATCCTCCATTCGTTCTCGTCTGGTTCTCGGTTCTTCTGGCCCGACTAAGCCAGCTATTCTGCGGCCGAATAATAGTCTTTCTACTTGCAACCTCTCGGGCGAATCCCTGGACATGTTCGTGTCAAGTGATTCGAAAACTGCAGTATAGTATTTGAGGGCATTCTTGAAACGGTGCAGAAACCCAACACGATTCAAGCTTACTTCGTACTCACCCAGTGTAACCACTTTCGGATTCAGTGATTTTGCAAGCTTTAAAGCTGCTTCAACACATTCATTACCCTCATCAAGCAGACCATATAATTGGAGCATGAAATTCACAGCAAGGACCTCATCCGGATCGGTCCGGATACTCGACCCGTTAAGCTCTTGCACCGGTATCAAAATGGGTTCGAACTCAAGATTCAAATCCAGCAGCTTAGCAAAGTCACGTAACCGATTCCCAGTAGCCAAAAGCGCCGCTGCAGAAGAATCTCCCAGAGCCTGCGCCGGAATACCTGAAATCCGAATCATTTCAGGTTTTCCGGCGGATCTGGTGGCCAAAGCCTGCAAAAGTGCCGCCCATTGGACACCCTGAATAATCCCAAAATCAACTATGTGGATTTTTTTGGCGCTCTCGGTGGCTTCAAGAATTGCTTGGTTTGCTGTTAAATGAGCAAATTTGGAGTAAGGACAGGCGTCGTTGAGTACTTTGTATGATAAAATATACTCCTCTGATGTTGTATCATATATCGTCGGAATCTTTTCCGCCTGATTTGAGATTTTACAGCAAAGAGCTTCAGAGAAATAGTACGACACTCGCTCTATCGGATCGCCGTGCTGGGAGATCGAACCTTTGAGTTGAATCAGTGATTTCGCTGCTTTTTCTGGGTCTGACTCCAAGAGACGAGCAGAGTCTACTAAGGCTTTTAAAATTGGTTTGGTTGAGAATGAAGTATCCGGCGAACTCGCAGATGCTCCGGTAGTGTTGTCGGCAACTGAAGCATCATTTTTCGGTGCTAGCCTAGAGTCGGCAACGGGGGAAAGAGTTGGAGGTGGGTTTGCTGAGGAGACAGAGACCCACGTGGTGTTATGCGGTGGCTCAGAAAGGATAACTCGGTTGAGATTGGAGTTAACGATGAGTCGACTCGGTGGGCAATTGGTGAAGGCATCAGCAGCAGAATAGAGAGTCTGCCAAGGTTCACAATTTGATTGGATATTAGAGCTACCCGTGGAATCTCCGCCACCCATCAAGCTCTCCATCCACTCGTCAGAATCAAACTCACCACAGAAATCCGAGTATCGAAATCCAGTTGAATGGTGTTCCAGGGTGGGGAACTGAAACCCAGGTTCAATAGGTTCTGGTCCAGCGCCCTGGAGCTGAAAAGGGTCCGTGAAGGCACCAGGTCCAATAAGGCCATAGCTCATAGACGTGGTGGCTGAGGTAGTGGTTGTGCTAAGACAAAAAGGGTGGTCATGGTGGTGGTGATGCTGTTGCTGCTGTTCTTGTTGCTGCTTCTGCTGAATAACTTGCTGAGCAATAGCCATTAGATTTCCACTGTCAGTACACATATATGCCATTCT